ATAGTGGGATTGTACATTATAACGCCCCCACGGCTGAAAGGGTGAGCATGTTTGGTGTGACGGGGATATCAGTGAATGACATCTGTGTTTCTTTTTGGAAAATTCAGTAAAAGAAAGAAAGAGCAAGCTGAAATGGTCAAGACGTAACGATAGATTTTTTTTTCATGTCCATTAAAATATATTTTTAAGTATTGTAATTTCCTACTCTAGTTTGATAAGATTTTCGAACATCAGTGTTATCTTTTTTAGTCTTTCATATTATGTTTTAATCTAGATTTTTTTGTATTGTTTGCTAGAGGGAGTGTTGGCACAACATGATGATGCATGTGTGAAGCATAGGGATTTCGTGAATGTATCTAGATTTGAAGTGATTTGCACATGACGTCTTGAATTTTCTTGAGACTTAGAGGAAAAGTGTTGTAATCAGCTAAAATCACCAGAGTTGTCGTTAATTAGAGTTAGTGAATTACTCAGTGAGTGAGTTAGTAAGTCTGTTACAAAATTATCAATCGATTACTGAGTTAGCGAGTTTGTCAGTAGCCAATTTTGAGTTTGTACCTTATACACCAGAGGAAATTAAACAATAAAGTAACTGCTTCATTTTATTTATGAGTTACGTCTATTACTTGATAATCGTTAGCTCACTTATAAAACTATCAGTTGAAGAAATAAAATACTTTATTTTAAGTATACTGAAGTTTGCAATATTTTTATATAATAATAAAAACGAACCATGTAAACCATTACAATACTACTGTCAGGAGTGGCATTGTTTTGGTAAAAATTAGATATCTAAACAGAAGTTAAAGATGACGAAACGTGCTCGAAGTGTAATTAAAAATATGTTGAAAATGTTAAAAAAGTTGAAAGAACTGGGAGAAAGAGAAAGCCTTAAAGAATTCTTAAGAACAAAAATGAGAGTGATTGAAGAAAATATGGAAGAAGCTACTTGTTGTTGTTGGTGGTGGTTTCTTAGTGCAAAGCTATATATAATTAGCTATCTGCACTCTGTTCACCACGAAGAATCGAACCCTGGATTTTAGCGTTGTAAGTCCATAAACTTATATATAGATGACCCACTGGCTGGGGAACAGTAGCTATTGGAGATGTGCAGAAAGATTATAACAGTAAAATTAATGTAATGTAATAATGCATCTATGAAGTACAAAACAGATCAACAGAGTATATAAAATTTATGACAGCAAAACCAACGAGGTACTAAAGAACATTCACTGGCAGAATAAAACATCTAGAAAATGAACTGTAAAATGCACGAATCAAACCAGGCACACCTCTTTCTATCTTTCTGTATTTGCATAATAATTGTATCCTTAAATACCTTTAACTATATGAAATTTGGAATAGAAAAAACATTTGTTCTACAGCTGTTGCCACTTTAGCTGTGCCATATATAACCGCAGGTTCTTCATTGATTATTTTAGTTTTAAGAACATTAAGCAGTATTCCAGTTGGAAGCCGCAAACAGTATCAGAAATCGGTGGCTGCCTTATTAAACAGGTTTGGAGCGATACACCATAAGAAAATTTCGAAAGCAAAGTTTAGGAGCAAAATAGGGAAAGGATGAGTCTTTGGCCAAACTTGTTGAAGATATGAAAATGCTTGTCGAATTATCTTACACAGATTCTCCACGTGAAATCATGGATTTATTGACGCATGACTAATTCATAGATGCCACAGTGGAAAAGGACATGCAAGTTAGGCTAAAGTGAAGCAAGTGTACATCGATAAAGAAGACTGTCCAGTTGGCGATGTTCCTGAATGAATCATATTACAATTAAAGAATTAAGTTCACCATCCAGGTATTATGAATTTAACAAAGAAAACAGTGTATAAACATCAGCTCTTTCTGATGTACGTCCAGAAGAGCTTAGACAATTCATAAAGCAACTGTTACGTCAGAAGGTATTTCAATTGCAACTAAAAGGGTCATATTATCAGGAACTGCACACATAAACGCCTTTAATAAGAAAGCTGTTTACTCGGGACGGAGGAAGTAAATCACAAGGTAGAAGGTGTTTCAACTCCAACTTAAAAGGGCATAATGCTGGAAAGTGATATCTCAGAATGACAAAAGAAGGAAGCTGATATATGTTTGGAAAACATTATATCCAAGAACTCAAGCGTTAATAAAAAAATCAAGAAACCGATATTTTGAGGGTTAGAATATTCCATATGCCCCAACAGAAATAATAATTGTATTATTTAAAGAAACTAGCCAACAGGTTTATAAATGAGAAGGCTTGCAGTATGTCAATGGACACTGGTGGTTATACAGCTACAATTGTCAGACCTGATTTGGTAATGGAAGGAGGAAAATTGCCTTTAGGGATGAAGCTAGGAGATGGATTAATGTGAACAGCTAGTGGGTATAATATTGAGAGTCACCTCACATGATGTTTGGGTAAATTACATTGATGGAGAATGCACATTAGGAATTAACTTCATGTAAAAAAATAGACTAGCTACAAATAACTTTACAGTGACAACAAGGATGAATAGGTGGTTCAAACCAAGGGCCATCCATCGTGATAGTTTCTGAAAGGACGTCGATGGAAGAATAGCCAACTACTTAATTTCAGAAAAGGCCTCACATGAAATAGGCCAACCTGTTGAAAAGCCTAAGGTTCCGGTCAAGGGATGAAGTCACTAGTGGATTCCTCCGACCATCCACCTAAATATAGTTCTTACTTATGTACATGTGGCAAACAAAGATAAAGGAAAAGTTGTCGCTCCATCTTTGTACCATAAGGGATGGAGAAGAAAAACCGCGAAGAGAAAAACTGAGTGGATAATCTTGAAATTGTAAATGAGTTTAACAACAACACAAAATGTTTTGTTACTCAAATGTAGATTTTAGTTTTCTTTATCAAAGATATCAGCAATAATTTAATTATTGTAATGTCTGTTTACGAATTTCAATTTTTATAATTGTATTAGTGATCTTATTAGTAATTATTTAAGTTTGAAATTAATATATTAGTGTTTAATTTATGTATTACAGGACTCTACTATCCACAAGTAATAAAAAAAATGTGAAAAATAAGGATGATGTACGGATGCAATGCCAAAAAGTACAGAAACAAAATAGGGATGAATACACAAAAATACAAAAATCCCTAAATAAATAGCCAAATATTTCCAAGAAAAACTTTTATCTACAACTAATTTTGGCATGCTTTTCATTTACATGAATTCAGGTTTGAATAAAAGTATTTACACTGAACAATACTATAAAGACAATTGCTAATTCCCATAAGCTTATAACATTGACTCAGTGGCTACTTATGTAGGGATGTTTGTATGGTTTTGTGTATTCATCCCTTTCTTGTTTCTATACCTTTTGGTATTGCCATCCCTACATCATTCTTTTTTTTTTTTAAAACTTTTTATTACTTGTTTCCCCTCTTTTTTTAATGGATGGCAGTCGCTATTAAGGTAGCAGTTTTAGCCTGGTGTGATAAATTGTCTTGATGGACTTCATGTGTTGAAGTTAATGAAACGCTATACTGCTTCTGCACTTCCCAAGTTAAAATACAATATTTTGGTGTGTAAATCATCACAACAACTTCAGGCAATGGTGAGCTAGCCCTTATTATGCTCGAATCAGAATAATCAGCAAAGCATTTTGGCTGTTACGCTACACGCCGGTTCTCCACTTTAGCGATGTTTTTTTTTGCTAATCTAGAGGTCTTAATAGCTTTTGAAAAACCTCGAAAACCTAGATTAGATGTTTATAAAAGTCTCTTACATTGTTATAAGAGAGATTTGAAACTATGATGAGTATTACATCATATGCGACGGCCCATTTTTTCCGTGCTTAGTAATAAAGAGGAAATTGTTTTAATATTTTAGACGTTTTGTATTGTTTACTAGAAAGAGTTTAGAACATGACATAGTGATAATATGTGACGAGATAATGTAACAAGTAAGTAACTGTTTAGTTTTATTTGCGAGTTATGGCTATAATTTGGATATCGTTATTTCGTCAAAGTGTAACTCTGTATAACTCTCAATTAAATACATTTAATGCCTCCCCTTTCGTTAACTGACTGGATTTTGCATTATTTTTACCGAATAATAATAATAATAATAGACCAACGATAGAAACCGTTACAACATTATTATTTTTCGTAAGCAACATTAAATTTCAGTCTTGATTTTATTTTTTTCAAAATTGATCTAACACCCACCCAAACACATACGTATATATATATATATATATATACACACACACACATTCATTCGAGTTACGGTTCATATAACATACAAAACTGTC